ACCGCTCCCTCCTCTTTCTGCAGCAATGTGAGCCCAGCATGGCAGCCAAGCAAACAGTGCTGTGGAAGGGTGGGAAGGAAAGCGGGCTGGCTGTGGTGTGCCACTGGGTGGAGTTAAAATTTATAACAAGGGAGAGGCAGCTGAAGAAAAGAAAGTTTCTTTTAAAAATTCTGCTGAAGCCTAATTAAAAAAAATTCCACTCCCTCATGCTAAGTTTTAAGAGACTACTTTGTCAGAATTATTTTCGGTCTCATGGTAGCAGGCAGGAAGAGAGTCAGATATTCACCAAACTATAAAGAAGGTAGTCCCCAGCCCGTAACACACAGAGGTGGTTCACCCTGCCTTCCTGGCCTGGGTTATGAGGATACAGAATGTGAAGTTGTCAAGGCATAGATCTTTCTGGAAAAATATGCATCATCGGATAGGTTAAAAAAATGGTTGCAGTCTTTTGCAGCTCCTGCTGTCAAGAGATGTGGGTCGGTTTTGGCAGTCCTTGGCTATACCCATGGGACACTAGCAAAGCTGATGCAAGCAGAGGCTTGAAAAGTGCTTGGACACTGGGGTTTGCACTCTTTTGCTGACTTTGGGATCCAGTCAGGCTAGGTTAACTTGCTAGATAAGGCAGCCCTGGTCACCCTTGTGGGTCCCCTTCAGCTGCCGGACATATAAGTGACACCAGTCAGGACCTCCAGGCATCAGCTAGACCTTAAGCTGATTGTAGCCATATAAGCAAGTTTGGTGAGCCTAACAGAAGAACTTCTCAGCTGAGCCCAGCCCAACTTGCCACCAGGAAGGTGAGCTAATAACTGGTCACTGTCTTAAGCATCTGTATTTTGGAATGTATTCTTTTCTTTCCTTTAAAATTTTTTTAACATTATTACACAAAAATTTCAGCTTTAGAGAGCTAGTTAAAAAAACTTCATTGTGGGGCTGGGGATTTAGCTCAGTGGCACAGGGCCTGCCCGGCAAGCGCAAAGTTGTGAGTTCAATACCCGGTACAGGAAAAAAAACCAAAAAAACAAACAAACAAAAAAACAAAAACCTTCATTGTTGTATATCTCATTTTTGTATTTCTGTGACAAAATAAAAACTCTGAAGTTACATAGAAAAAAGTCAAAATATTTTTGTCAAGGGCTGATAGTCCACTGAAAATTTATTCACAATTCCACTGTACATATTTTGCATAATTGTGTGCTCAAAAGTCCTATAAAACGTGGAAGACTTATTACCACTGTCGTTTTCAGTCAACTATACTTCCATTCACAATTTATTTTGTCTCATTTACACCTTTAAACCTGGGCACACTGCTGAACATAGACTGTGGAGGTTCTGAATAGCAAGTGCTCCCCCCACCAAAAAAAAAAAAAAAAAAATCAACACATGAAAAACACAAAACACAAACCCTCTATGGAGTACATTCTTAATGTGGCACCGTGGTCTGAATGTTTGGTCCTCTTGGAATTCATATGTCAAAAAGGAATTTCCCCATATGGTGATATTAAGGGAGGGTCTTTGGGAAGTAGTTAGCTCATGAGAGCTTTGCATTCATGGAGGGAGAGTGGGAGGGGCCAATGCAAGGCATCTGGCTCAAGGACTATAATGCATTTGTAAAAGAGGCCTAAAGGAGCTTGTTTACCCAGGCTTCTATCAGAAGGTACTGGGTTCAAAGTACTGGGTTCAATCCCCAGTACTGCCAGAAAAAAAAAGAGCTCAAATTTTGATTATTCTATTTAAAAGCTGCTTCCCTTCAGCTGCATTATCTTCTCTCTCCCTTGATTCCTCGCCTGTGAAATGGGAATAATAATCGCATCTACTATTAGCAAATATGAGAATTAACCAAATCAACATATATAAGGAAATCAGAATAGTAGCTGCACATAGTAAATTTAGAAGCTTCTTCTGCTAAGTGCTATGTGTGAGAAACGGGTCTCACCAGATACCGAATGTGTTGGTGCTTTGATCTTGGGTTTCCCAGTTCCCAAAAGAGCAAATGTCGGTTGCTTTTAGGTACCTACTTTACGATATTTTTGTATCATCCTGGAATGGACTAAGACCCGGGAAAAACCCCCCTACATATATATTCTAAGAAGAGGAGAAATCCGCATAGATAAGAGTCACTTTACAACTTAACAGAGGAGAGATACTGTCGTTGACTGTTTTAGTGTACCCTTTCAGAATTTGGCAGAGTTGGTGTCTTTGAGAGGCTGCTGTCCGGCTCATAGACGGTACCTCCTTGCTGTGTCTTCACATGGCAAATGGACGGAGTTAGCTCTCGCTCTATACGAGCACTGGTACTATTTATGAGGATCTAATCACCTCCCTAAAGTCTTCTTTCTAACACCATCACATGGAGGATGAAGTCTCAACATTCAAACCACAGCACTGAGGGGTCCTGAGTGTGGGCGTTAGAGCCAGGTGGGTGAAGCCCCATCATTTGCTTGGTGTGATCTTGGGCATCTTTGCTAACATGTTTTGCAGTGAGAACTAAATCTGCTAAGGCAGCACAGCTGAATTAGGATGCTGGAGGAGTTTATCTAGAGACTACTGGATTTTCAAAGCTGTGGCTGGGGTTCAGGGAGTCACAGGGAGAGTTCAGTGCCCTGGGGCCAGGTTACTGCCGGATGTGAAGAGGCAGGGAGAGGGCATATGGAGCAGGTGTGGTCGTGATCTTGCATGAAGAAAGAAAGCTGTTTTGCGGTGATGTGGCTGGGAAAGAGCAAAACTCTGACCTAGCTACTTCCTCTTACCTATTTCTTGCCAGTGCTGGTTATCAGCCTAAGCCAACTGGAAACCACTGGACAGGCAGATTAACCTCCTATGGTGAAAAGCAAGGTGGAGAAGGAGGGAGGGTAGATGGGATAATGGAAAGCAGCTAGCTCAAGGGCTGTTGGGCAGAAGAAAGCACTGTGTGGGTGCATAGCACCCAGCAGTTATTTGCTAAACTTATTGTTAGTAGTGGAGGACACCAATGGCTGTAGGTGGAAGAAGAGGAAATGAACATTTTTGCCAGGGCAACTTCAGGATATTCATAGAGAAGGTATGCTTTGAGTGAGGCTTTGAGTGAGACAGAGAGGAAACAGTAAGGGAAACACTATCATGGAATGTACTATGTGCAGGTACCATTCTGATTGCCTTGTACACAATGATTTGGTTAATTCTCATATTTGCCAATAGTAGATGCTATTATTATTCCCATTTCACAGGTGAAGAATCGAGGGAGAGAGAATATAAGCTGAAGGGAAGCAGCTTTTAAATAGAATAATCAAAACTTGAGCTCTTTTTTTCTGGCAATACTGGGGATTGAACCCACGGCTGTCACACTGAGCTACATTTACATGCCTTTTTATTTTTTATTATGAGACAGGGCCTTGTCAAGTCCCTAGATTGCCCAGGCTGGGCTCAAACTTGTGATCCTCCTGCCTCAGCTTCCTGAAGTGCTGGGATTGCAGGAATGTGCCACCATGCCTGTCAGATTTGAGCTAATTTATCTTTTTTTTTTAGGCAGGATCTCCCTAACCAGTTTAGGCTGGCCTTGAGCTCACTTTGTAGCCCAGGTGGGTCTCGAACTTACAAAAATCCTCCTGCCTCAGCCTTCTGAGTGCTGGGATTACAGGCATGTGCCACCATGCCCGGCTTAAGCTAATTTTAAAGGGAGCATGGGGACCTGGCATTTATTTTTTAGGTATAGAGCTGAAACACACATATAGAGGAAGTAGTGAATCATCTAGGTGGGCTGGAGTGTAGGGTTTGTGCTGGAGGACAATAAGAGACAGTCTTGAGAGAGAGAGCTGAGGACAAGATATTTGAAGGCCACAGTGATAGGCTAAGGAATTTGGCCCCAATTCTGGCAGGCAATGGGGAGCTACTGAGGATTTCAGAGAAGACAAAAGCAGTCACAGCAGAGTGCCAGGAAATGAATCTGTGTGCAGGGTGAGACTAACAAAGCAGGGAGCAAGTAGAAGCCAGGCAACCAGCTAGAGGGTACTGCAGGGGTCCAAGCACTGTGCAATAAAGGCTTCAATGAGGATGACAGCAACTGAGATGGAGGCAAGGGGCACTGGAATTGCACTGCTAGGGGAAGCTCATAGGACTTGGGGACTGATCCGGTGGGCTGTCAGGGTGGCTGGACAAAGAAAAACATGACAAGTAATATAAGATCCTGGTGATATGTGAGTAATTGCATCAGATGCACATTCAGCCACACTTAGTGTGTGCATGTTGTAAAATAAAAAGGTGTTCTCCAGGTACAGCACAAATACCATGAAGTTGCGTCACCTCCATACACCAGAATCGGTTGCAAAATAACAACACATTTCACAATCTGCTCCTGGCAGATTCACTTGCGAGTCTGGAACAGGATGGGGCGAATTTAAGGACTGTCCCCTGGGGTGCTGAGAGGACAAGTGTTGAGGATCCTGTGAGCTTAGTTCTGGAAAACCTGGAAGGCTGTTTGGTTGCCCGGCGACAGTGCTGCCTCCACAGCGGCCCGGGGTTTCCCACAATCCTGGATGCATCTCATTAAAAGGAAAGCAGATGGATGGCTGACACATTTTCTGAAGTGGCATTTTCAGTGCTCCAAGTCCTGCTATCTTATTTATAAGTGGCACTTACAAAATACAAGGGAAAAGGAAAAAAAGGTGGGGAGGAAGAAAGATCTCTGGATCTTAAGCACAGGAGGAGTTGATCTTGACGCTCGGACTTCAGCTTGTCTAAGAGATGGGGGTGCCGAGCCTCCTTGAAATCCGCCTGAAATGAATTAGCCTGAAGTAAAAGTAGGTGTTTATCTCAAGTCATTGCCTCAAATAGCTGACTACCTGTTGGAAGAAGGGTCTGATCGATGCAAACCAGAGCAGCCGTGCGTGAGCTGTTACACAGCGGTTAGTATTGATCAGAGCCAAGGGCTGCCGATAGGAATGTGGAGCGAACTGACAGGCAGAGAAGAGGGAAGGAGGAAACAGCTTTCGCTGGTGGCAGCCGTACAGAGGAAAGCCGATAAAAAGTCAATTCCACTTAACTGAATGGCTGCTAACTAAATATTTTGGGGCCAGAGCCTTCCTAGGTAGCAGCTGCAGCAGCTCTGTTCCGGAACTGAGACATCAAGCCAGCATGGGGCATTGACAGGTGAGATCCAGGGCCCTGGCCATGGATGCAGGAAAAGGGGACTTCTGGCTGGAGGGGTGGATGGCTCCTCCATGACCAGAGTACTGCAGTACAACCTCTGACCATGGAGAGCGGCAAAGGGACAAGGACCAGGCTGGAATCCATGTCACAGTCTCTGATTAATTAGTTCTTTCCAAACTCTGGTGCTTTTGTCCCTTAGTAAGTAAGCACTGCTGAAATGATCTGCTACATGGAAAGCTGACTGATGGAGATGCAGTAGATTACATCGTGAATGTCTTCCAGAGGCCCATGTATTAAAGCTTGGTTCACAGCTTGTGACGTCACTGGGAGGTGGAGACTAGTGGAAGGAAGTTAGGTCACTGGGGGCGTGTCCTTGAAGGGCGTATAGGGACCTTGGCCCCTCGTCTCTATTTGCATGTTGGCCACCAGGAGGCAAGCAACTTTCTACTCCATGTTGTCCTGCCCTAATATGCTGCCTGGCCACAGACCCCAAAGCAAGGGAACCAACTGACCATGGGCTAGAACCTCCAAAACAAACCTTTATTTTCATTTGAAGTTTTTTTGTTTTGTTTTGTTTTGCTTTTGTTTTGTTTTTTGGTTTTTTTCCGGTACTGGGAATCAAACTCATGAACTTGCACTTGCCAGGTAGGCGCTGTGCTGCTGAGCTAAATCCCCAGCCCCTTGAAGTTGTTTTATCTCAGGTACTTCTTACAGTTATGGAAATTTGACTAACACAGTGGATCTTATCAAACACAGAGAAGCTGAACAATGCCATGGAAGGATGTTAGGGACTGGCTTTGGGGGTAACCCTAACCCTACCTCTAAACCTCTTTGAAGCTAGTGAGATGCTACATGCTACATGCAACAGTATAAGGCTGTGAGTTCAGCTTCAGCACAACTTGTTTTTCTGAATTTCTATGCATTTGGCAGGACTGTAAGTCACTTTCTTGAATTAAGTATGACTAAGTAATTCCGCTGATCAATGAAATCTAAGAAGTGAAGTGTGTGTGTGGTGCATTAACTAATGGGCACCTTGTAACACCCAGCTGAACTGAATCAGTGTGGCCCTGGGTGTAGAAGGCCCACCTGATTGTTGCAAACAGCATAAAAGTAGAACTGGAGGAGAAGATGGTGTGCTGTTGATTCTCCTGGAGAAGATTGTCACACTGGCTGTCCTGGTATGAACTTGGCTGTTCTCATCATTGGAAGAACTGGGGTCCTCGCTGTCACTGAGGATGGTGGCAGTTCTTTTCAGAGGAGCTCCCATCCTTACCTCAAGTGTTGCTTCCTGGCTCCAGCACAGACCCCTCAGCCTGCTGCCATAGATCCTTCATCTCACTGGTGCAGACTTTCTAGCTTCTTCCACTGATCTTTGGGCTTTCCCAGTGTAGGTCCTTGATACAGACTTGCATGAGACATTGTTATGGGCTCTAGGCCTCCAGCTGTACTCGTGGAGGACATTGCTGTGGGCCCTAGGTCTTCAGCTGGACTTGTGTGGGACATTGCCATGGGATCCAGGCCCTCAGCTGGATTCTTTGAGTCTCTAATGTGTGGACAGATTTCCTGCACTCTTCTGCATTTGACTCTTTGGGTGAATGTTATAAAATAAATCTATAAATTTTGTGTCCTGTATTAAATATTTCTCTTGCAAACCCCGACTACAACAGTATGCCTTCTAGGTAGATGCATTTGTTTGCTGGTGTACAAATGTACTGATCTTGGCTTGCTATTACTACTCAGGTACTTGATACACATTCTTTGAAGTTCTTTGAGATAGTGTGTCACTATGTAGATCAGGTTAGGTTTGAACTCACTATGTAGCCAAGGTTGGCCTTGAACTCATGGTGAGCCTCCTGCCTTAGCCTACTGAGTTCTGGGATCACAGGTGTGTACCACTACTCCTAGTACTTGTGCTATTACAGAGGAGTGCAATCTTCTGGAATATTACACTTATGCAAAGCAGTGAATTTTGTGTGAGTGAGGAATAAACTTCTATGGTGTGACATTACTGCATTTTGGGGCATATTTGTTACCCAGCATAATGGAAAATTTGGACTGGTACGGGGACTGGGTTTTAGAATCTTGTCTTTAGCAGCTATTAGTAGTTGAGTAGTTTATCCCATTGCTTAATCTATCCAAAACTTGGTTTATTTATGAGGTATAATAAGAAACCATGGTAAATTCTTAAATTTTTAAAAACTATGGTAAAACACACATTGTCATGAATCCCCCCTCAGAATAGTCCCCCATGATTCAAATACATATATCCCATGGTTCTTGCCATTTTCTGAAGCAATTCTGAACATCTTCTTTTGTGTCTTTAGTTGCACTGTTGTGGCAGCCACAATACTCTGACTCAATTCAAAAGATTTACCTTTCATGGTCATTTTTGACTCTGGGGAAGACACAGAAGTCACATGGTGCCAGACTCAGTGAATAAGATGGATGAGGACACACTGGAATGTTTTTATTGGACAGAAGTTGCTGTAAATATTTTGAATTAATTGAGGACATTGAGGCAGCTACAAAAAGACACTCACTAAGAGGACTTCCAGAAATGCTGCAGAAAGTTGTGAGAATGCTGCGATAATTGTTTTCGAAGCAAAGGGGAGCACTTTGAGAGGGATTAATGGAAATGTATTTTTTTTTACTGTAATCAATTTTAAATTTTTATTTAAACATTAACCACATTTTTTTTATCACGTCCTGTATATGAAGCACATAAAAACAGCAACAACAATAAAAGTTACCTTGTATTGAAAGCTTATAAGATGCAGGCATGGCAATGGCTCTGCACATATTAACTTGTGTAATTGTCAAAGCAACCCTATAAAGACTTTATTATGCTCATTCTATGAAAGTGGAATTTGAAGCTCAGAGAATTTGAAAGAATTTTCCTCAGTCACACAGCTTATAATGATAGGCAGAAATTAAAACACAGACCAACCTAGTTTAGAGTATTTTTCTCAATCATTTTCCTATACTGTCTCCACCTAGATGCTTCATAAATAACAGTTCTAGTGTAGCGTTGAGAATAAATTCTCTGACTCACACCCAAGCACATTATATGGGAGGAGAGAGATATGGCTAGAATTCCTTTTGACCTTTTACCATGCCATCCCCTGCCACCTCTTACAAGCCTCTGTAGGGTTTGAGCCTATCTGGACTGTTCCTCTCTAATTATTCCCCAAATCCTGGTTATTTCTAACGTCCCAGATCAATTTTCCATTCATTTGTGATACAAACAAGAGAATTCCTTGTTATCGGAAGAGGCTGTCAGAGAAATTGTTTTGAGGAATTTCTCAAGTACAAAATGGGCATAATAACACCCACCTCACTGCCTTGTTATAGTGGATATTTTTCATTTTTTAAAGCAGCACTTGCTAGGATCTAGACACGATGATTTGTGCTTTTTATATAAAGTTGTAGACAGATAATATGGATGAGGAATCTGAGGCTCAGAGAATTTAAACACATTCCCATAGGCCACCCAGCTAGAAAAAAAGGGTGGAAACTAGTTCAAACTATGACTTCAAAGATTTTTTTCTTATATATCCAATTCTGTGCCTCCTAAAAGTAAAATTAAGGTTTTCTTGGAGTCCAATCTGGTACAAAACAGTAGCTGAGTAAATGATAATACTTATTGTGATTCATTCATAAACATGAATTGAGCATCTGCAATGCAGTAGGGAATGCATTCCAAGAATTCCTTAAGGAATTCTTCAGGGACACTTGAAAACAAGTACAGAAGGAAATCATATCTTGTCCATGCTGCTTTTAAAGATATTTGTGGACTGCCTGCAGTGCCAAATCCTTAGAAAGCACCTAGCAGAGGGAATCCTAGACCAAATGCGTTTTCTGTGTGCCAGGAGCCCTTGGAACAGGGGGATCACCGATAATTGCATCCACATTCAATCTTCCCAAGGGCCCTCAGGATAGTGGCATGAGTTGTGCCACATTGGAAGCTGGCATAGAGACCCAAGGCTGAGCTTTTAGCCTCTATGCCATGCTGTGTATTCCTTATGACCTTAGGCATGGGAGGAGGATGTTTTTCTTTGACCATGATTAGAATTCACCTGAACCTGTCTGTAGGTTCCATCTAGCCTTGTAGGGAGGAGAAAGGTGCCCATCGCTCACCACTGGAACCCCGTGAGATCCTTAGGAGAAGGGTGCGGTGCTGGCAAAACACCTGCTTACTTTGTGCCTGGTGCTGTGCTGGGAATCTTCTCACATCTTCCCCACATACTTCCAAAGTGGCTGTCATGGACCCAGATGACAGATGAGAAAATTGAGTCTGGGGGCTTAAGTGACATCTAGGGTTGGTGCATGTTTTCTCTGAGCCCTTCTGAGATCATTTCACAATTCTACTGAATAGGAGCCCTTCTTCAAAGTCCCTTAATGAGGGGGCCCTCGGTGCTCTCTGCTTGTCAAATGCTCTTTATTGAGAAATGCATTCTATTTATTGATATGTCAATGTACTGATGAGAGCACACACGCATGAGCTAGTGGGGCCACATCTCTATGCTCAAGCTTTTCTCAACCAATATTCTGGGTATGGGCTGAGGGCCGTGCTCAGATTATTTTGAGTTTTTGTACTTAATGCTTGGCAACTTTAATAAACTTCATTCCTTTAGGTAGTAGACTTAATATTTTAAGTATGGTTTTAATTACCGTCCTCTTCATGTTTAAGGCAAAACCAGGAGAAGAAGGCAAAACATCTAACGTTTGAGCTCTGCCAGCAGCTCCACTCTTTCTGAGGACAAGGGCCAGGATTCCAGAACCCAGAAGCAAGGGCTGTCCCTCAGCTGTTTCTCAGGCCCCAGTCACGCAGTGCTTAACCCACTTTGAATTTCACCAGGTTCTCTTCTTCCCACACAGCCTGTAAACATTTATCTTTGGACATTCCCAGAAATGTTTCTTATGGAAGGGATTAGCTGTTAGCGCATTTAACTTCTGAAGGTGAGCTCCTCAAACTTAACTCACGTAATTAAAGTGGAAAATTCCTGGTGGAGGGGGAAAAAACCTTCAGGGAAAATACCATGTTTGGGAAGAGAGCTGGACTCCTGCAGTCTCCAGAGACAGCTCTGTGTTCTGGGTACTTAATTATATTCTATCTCGCTCTGCACTCTGCTTCTTTTATCTTTTCAGGCTTAACTCTGCATCGAGATGATAAGCAACATGCGGGCAGGGATTGTGATGTGGGAGTGGACCAAAGGGTTGTTTTATAGTATCATTTTAAAACATTAGTCATTATTTTTTAGTGCAAAGTATGTAAGAAAAAAAAAGTTTTATAGTGCAGATTAAATGTATCATTTTGAATGTTCTTGCTTTGATTTGTTTATGTTCATGATACTGGTATGCTGCTACTGTTCTATTTTTTGTTTGTTTCTCATGTACTACTCTGTTTAAAATTAAAAAAAAAAAAAAAGAGGCTGTATTTTCCCCAGTTAAAAAAAAATCCTCTTGGAGGCAGATTTGAAAATTCAGTTACAGTACTTCCCCTCCATCTGAGGGGATAGGTATGTTCTGAGACCCCTAGTAGATGCCTACAACTTGGGTAGTATAAACTGCATTTACACTGTGTTTCCCTAGACGTACATACTTCTGATAAAGTTTGGCTTTTAAGTCAGGCACAGTGGCTGGGTATGGCGGCACATGAGCACTCCGGGAAGTTGAGGCGGATTGCAAGTTTGAGCCCAGGGTGGGCAACTTCAGCAATTTAGTGAGACTCAATCTCAAAAATTAAAACTTAATAAAAGGACTAGGGATATGGCTCAGCATGAAGGTCTTGGATTCAATCTCCAATACCACCACCACCACCGAAAAAATTAGGCATAATAAGAGATTAAGAATGATAATATAGTCTAATAATAAAGTAGAGCATTCATAACAACATACTATAATAAAAATTATATGAATGTAATCTCTCAAAAGCATAAAGCCAAATATTAATATTTTCAAAACATGGTTGACATCAGATAACTAGAACCATGGGTAGTGGACCTTGGCTCCAGGTGGGGGATCACTGCAATACAGAGAAGTACAAAATGAAAGATCCTGCTATCTTTGCCTAGTGAATAATAATAGTTTTGGTCCCCTACAAAAATTATTACTGCTAACATTTTTTGGTCATTCTCCCCCATTTTAAAAAATATATATGTGATCTAATCTTAGGGCCACTTAGGGTTTACATATTGCTTATGCTCTTTGCCATAATGCTTGATTTTTCACTGTTGTAGATCCAGACAGTGTAAGTATTTTATGCTTCAGCTATTTCTTTCTTTCAGAAAGATTCTTATTTAAAAATGCAAATGGCAGGGAGCAATATTAAATGTTTGTCATCCTTCCTTCTCCAACTGGAGCCTTGTGCCTGAGCTAAAAGTGCCAGTTCTGGAGTTAGACTGTCTAGATTCCAATCCAGGTTCTGCCCCTTGCTGTCTCTAATGAACCTCCCTGCCTCAGTTTCTCCATCTATAAAGTAGGAGTAATAATCGTACTTGCTCCCTATGGCTGTCTTGAGTGAAAGAGTACATGGGAAGTGCCGAGAACAAGGAAGTACCCAGCATCACAGAGTAGGTCTTGAAAAATATTAGCTATTGTATCTGTAATATGCCATTAATACTGAAATAGATATGATTTTGAAAACTGCCCTTTCTGGGTACCTAATAAATGTCAAACATGGTCCGTCCAACTGCTTTATGTACCATGACTCATAATAATCTTCCATACACTTTCAAGAAGTAGGTTCTTGTAAAAATGATCCATTTTACAGAAGCAGAAACTCAAAAGTACAATGTAACTTGCTAAAGATCATGCAAGTAAGTCTCACAGGCCAGCTGGGCTTGGAGGACGTGTGAGTGTGATTCTTCCTGCTGGGCCAGCTAAACCAGCATAGTTGTTGTTGGTTTTTTCTCTTTAAAATAAAAAAAAGTGGAGCACAGAGGCCTCCAGGCCCAGAGATGTAGTCAAAGTGCAGGCTGACTAGGTAACGGGATGGCACACGTGGGTGGGATGCCTGGCAGAGAGGAAGAAGGCTGGCAGAGGATTCAGGAAAAGCATCAAAAGAGCTCTGTCCCTAATGTGACTCTTGCACAAAGCCAGCACAAGATCTGATTTCCTTTGTGGCCTCCCAGTTGCCTGGGGCAGGGAGTTGCTGGAAGCCACAGGATCCATTCCTCAAACCAGGTATTCCAGTTTTACCCTGGATTCCACCACCTTGGCATCTCACATTACTTCGAAAGCAAGAAAGCGAGTTTCCCCTTCTTTAAAATGGGGATCATAAATCCTAGCTCACAGCCTCATGGGGCTATTGCGCAGCTCAATTGGATCAGCCTGGGCATGTTTAAGTGCTTGGTTAACTGGACACCTTGCACAGAGATGCCAGATATTGTTATTGACTTGCTGCGTACCTGTGAGTTACAAGGGGGTGTACTTGATCCCATGAAACAGATTTAGTGACAACCCCAAAGTGTGCCTCTCTGGGAAAGAGTTTATGGTGCCAGGGATCCTAGTATTGTCTGTAATCAATTCAAGAACAGGTGAAGAGCTGGGGAGCTGTGTGGATGAGGGGTGTATCATTATCTAGGTTCATGATAACAGGTTTGAGGAACACACCGTAATCAGCCCTCTCTTCTCTGTACTTCCACTCCTAGCAATTTGGGGAAACTTGGGGGCTAGGTGGTGTCCTCTCTCACGAGTTGGTGTCTGTCCTGCTTTCTGGTCTGGTCTGCTACAGGGCCACATACCATACAGAGACACAAAGCAATCGACAGCATCCTGGCCCTTTCTTATGGATCCAATATTCTGTGTCTCAGTTGTATTTCAGGCCAACTTTTAGTGAAGTGGATCAATGCCTGAAGCACATAATGTAACATGACTCTTCAAGAGTTTGATTAATTGTGTCATAGTCACAGCCTCGGTTCAGGTTCAACCTTTTAAAAATTTTATTATTGTATAAAGTGATCAATCAGGGAGAGAGAAAAGACAAATGTTCTGCGTTGGCCGTATCTCCCTCTCTTCTTTGTCAGCAAATGTTGCTTTTCTGGTCAGCCCAGCTGTACCATTGGGGAGAAGCTAGGGTTCATGAGGACTCATGGTTTGGCAAATATGATACCAACAGAGAGAAAGTTTAGTGCTCCAAGTGGTAGTCAGGCTGCTCTGATGCTGATCAACTTTGGCCAGTGTGGGGTGGAGGGACATTAAAGAGATTTCTAGTCCTGCATCTCACCCACAGAGACTCAGATGCCATTGGTGTGAGCAAAGTCTGGGTCCCTCAGGGTTTTATTATGAAGCCAAGCATTTTTGTGTTGTGTTATGGCTGCCCAAAACTCATATGTTGAAGTCCTAAGCCCCTGTACCTCGGAATGTGGCTATTTTTGGAGATAGGAATTAAAGAGGTAAATTAAAGTAAAATGAGGTCATATGGGCAGGCCTTAATCCAATAGGACTGGTGTCCCTATAAGGAAAGGAAATTCTCACATATGAAAATCATGTGACATTACTGGAAGAAGACAGTCATGTAGAGGCCTTAAAAGAAACCAACCCTACCAATGTGGACACCTTGGACTTCCAGCCTCCAGAACCGTGAGAAAATAAAGTTGGTTATTTAAGCCACTGAGTTTGTGGTGCTTTCTTATGGCAGTGTGAACAAAAGACACACCCAGGATGGGAATCACTGGTCTGGGGCAAAGTAGCCAATGGCAAGACCTTTAACTGTGAGAAGTTTATTTTGGGGGCTCATCTCTCTCAGTTTCTGTGTTCTTTCTCTTCACAATCTTCTCCTGCATCTGTTCCTGCTGGAGTTTGTTTTTAAAGTTTGAGTTGAAGATTTAAGGTTTTAGTCTTTCTAGAAGGACCTGCATTTTAATGTGGGATTTTTGAAGCTAGATTGCTCCTATTGAGAAGGTAGATGAAATGCATTTCTAAATATCATCATTGTAGCAAGAGTCAGTATTTATGTGCCAAACAGTGTTCTAAGTAGTATCTTTGTTCCTGTCTATCTCTCTATTTTCATTTCCTGAATCTTCCCAGCAGCTTTATGAGGTGTGCTTATATGAGGAAACAGGCACAGAAAGGTTGAGTATCATGTCCATAATCTTACAGACAGTGAATATTAGACCTAGGTTCTGAACCTAGCAAGTTTGACTCCAGACACCATGTGTCAGTCAAATGGCCTCAGTGGTACCTGCTAAGGTCAGAATAGCTTTGGGGTAGCTTTATTTTTTAACAGTAGCTATTGGGACCCCTTCTCAGTAATTTTTCTCTTTCAAATCGCTGAGGCAGTGCACTGTGGGGGATCTTACTGTTCCTACATATAGTCATCCCTCGATTAAGTCTCTTACAGAAAATAGTGTAGTATTTGCATATAACCTAGGCAGTCCTCCCATACACCTTAAATCATTTGTAGATTACTTATAGGGGAAAGATTTATGCAATCTGAAGCAAAACCAGAGTAGATGTGTAGATTACTTATAATACCTAATACAATGCAAGTGGTCTACAAATAGTTGCTACACTATATTATTGAGGAAATACTTCTGCATGTGTTTAGTACAGATGCCTTTTTTCCTGAATATTTTTGATCCGTGATTGATTAAATCCACAGGTGAGGAGCCCATGGGTACAGAGAGCCAATTGGGCTGCTCATCAGCATCAGCCATAGTCATGTGACTTGCTCTGGCTGCCAATAAAATAAGAGAGGAAGTGATGTACTCTATTTCTTAGCACTATTTCTGAGTACACTATTTCTGCTTTGAAAACCATTGTGTGTTCTCTTCTCCCTTCCAGGGTGAGAATGTTTTGAAGGCACTGCAGGGTTCCTCCCCTATCCAGGTCTCAGAATACTGTAAAGACAAAGTGGAAGAGAGATACAACTAACTTGCGAATGAAAAATATATCTTTGTTGAAAGCCATTGAGACTTAATGGTTATTTGGTATTACATCATTACTTAGTAAAAACTGACTGATATCCTCTCTGGATATCAATATATTTAATCTGAAATACCAGGAATACTGTAAGGATAACGTCTTTAAATAATCAATAAGCATATCCTAAATAACCCATAAACTACAATATAATTTAATCCAATCAATCTTTCAAAACAGCTTTCTACCTTCTACAAATACTTTTTTTTGTATCTATCTAGCACCATCTCAAAAGGAAAAGAGAACATAAGCATTTGTCTAGCTCAGTATACTCAGAGTTTGCTCACCAGCCCAACACTTAAAAAGAGAACCGGTAAGAAAGTTCTTAAAAAGAGAACAAGTAGGAAAGGCTGGAGCATACTAGAAGTTATTTTAGGTTTTGAGAGGTCAGATAGACTGCAAGAGGAAAAAGAATGTGTTTTTCAATGCAGATTAGAATTAGAAAAAAAAAAAAAAGATTAGAATTAGACCTTCTCAGTGTTATGGCTTGTGTCTTCATTCCCCCCAAAGGTCATGTGGTCATAGGTAGTGCTTTTCAGAGGTGGCTGGATCTAGGATGTGATGCTGGGATCCAGGATGTGATGCTAGGGTTGATTTATGGGCAATCCTAGGATCGAAGCTGCCCTACCCTGGTGTGAGTGCTATCCAAGGGTGGGCAGCCTGGAAAGGATATAAGGGACAGACAGAGGGTCATTGCTTATCGCTTGTTGCTTGCTACTTTGCTGCCTGCAGCCTGCTATGAACTGTTTCTCCTTTGTGATGCTCATCTAGCATAACATCTTGCCTTGGAGCCAGGCAACTATGAATTGAAATCTCTACAAACTGTGAATTTTCAATAACCTTTCTTCCTTAATCTTGAATGTTGGGTATTTTTTCTCCACAAAGAGAAAAGTAACAAAGTGTACTATCTATTCTATGATTTACACCCTGTGAACACTTTTAGTTTCCAGATGCTCACTAGTCTCTCTGAAAGTTTTCACACTCATGGCCTGTGAGTTGACTGTGGCATGTAGGGGACTGTCATTTGGTCTGTTCTAAATGAAACACTATTCTGAGTACAGGTGTTCAGATCAAATTAACTGCCAGTGTTGAAAGTTTGAGATATTTCACATAAAAATATCAGTATTTTAATCTTTTCTTGTGATACTACAAGTCCTGGTTATTTTGGGCTTGGGGATCATCAGCTAAGTTGAGCAGCAGCTGCCCCTTAAGCTGGACATGCTTGCCATAGTCTTACCTATTCTGATTGCTTCATACAAGACCCATCTCACTTATTTATATTCTCTGTTTAATCCATGTAGGCATTTGAGTTTTCCAGCCTGGGATGAACTAACTCCTTTCTTCCCTAATTTCCTTCTTTCCTTTTCTTTTCCTCTTCCACCTCCTCTTCTTCCTTTGTCTCCTGGTTTTCCTCATTCTCATCTCTTTCTCTTTCTCTCCTTATTTATTTCATAGGAAGGAAGGCATTTTTGGGGAGCCCATTCTTTGCCATTCTGGGAACATAAGTCTCAGTCTTGTTCTTAGTATTT